ATTAAAAATATGCCTGTAGCATTGATAATAAAAATAAGGTTAACTTTTTTGATTTTTTATAGAAATTAAATACAAAAAAATACAGTTAATACATCCTTAAAACACAAATTAGACAAATCATTTATTTAATTCAATAAAAAAACATAAACTTCCCCTCCCCTTTCCTTTTATTTTAAACCATGTAAACAAAGTTACTACTAATGCTTCCCTCTCCTTCCTTCTTCCTCTCTTCTCTTCCCCTCCCTTTCCTTTTATTTTTTCTTTTATTTTCTCTATTAATTTTTATCCAAACAAATAAAGGTATGTTTGGTTTAAGAGAATTAAAGGGAAATTAAAGAATGTCACATCCTTCCCTAATAAAACAAAAAATAAAGGACTCCCTCTCCTCTCCCATCTCTTCCATTTTTTTTTTTTATAAGCAAATAGAAAAGAATTGTTTCTCTTCCCCTCCCCTTAAGCCAAACATACCCTAAAGATTTCTAGTGTCACCGTGGTCGGACCCAACTGGAAGATTTATCCTCGGTGGTTCAATGTCCTTTGCTCGAGTCCAGATGGAGTTGGGACAAGGTGCGGGCTTGCAGGCTGGGTAATGCGATCGCGTTCGGTGTGTGCCTTGTCTTCTAACTACTTAGGTAATAATATGACCGCAGGTGAAGAGAGCACTCTCTTTTAACAAAGAAAAATGGCCGTCCGCACCGAAGAGGTCATTCAAACATCAGGTTCTTACCCCAGCTATGCACCATGTTGCATCGTACACTGCCAATCCATCTGCCACAAATTGCACACAAGGCTTAATTATAGCAAGTAAAAGTGCAGCTCTTTGTTAGGCACTCAACGTCATTGGCATCCATTTAACAGCATCATCCAAGCACATGGCAAACGTGCAAACTCCACAAGTTTCTGTACGGCATTTGCCCCATCCTTGTATCCATTTTAAAGCAAATTTATAATGAAGCGTGATAAACTTTCATGTCAAGAGTTCTAACAGAACAATAGGCTCTTCAACGTGAGGCCAGGGATCATTGGTATACTGAACAACGAATATGCAAGAGTTTTCTAAAGAGAGGAACTACCCATCTGAATGGTTACGCAATAAGCTGGCTGGAAAGTCTGAATTCTTTTGCCATTACTTATGAACAACATTTACATTGCTTAGAGCAGAAGTCGAAAGATCTCAAAAGGTTAAAGATCTCCAAGCAAACCCCAAAATGAGATCTTGTCAAAGAGTAAGAGCTTCTCTTACAACATCCAAAACATGACAAACTTAACCTTTCTTGATATTTATTTACTAGAAGTGACATTCCTCAGGATAATGAGAAACATCCATTACCTCTCATCTCTTGTGATTAAACCTCACCTTCAACAAGAACTGCATCTTGACCTGTCAAAGAGATCAACCTCATTAAAAGCCAAATTAAAATGTATTTGATGAGGTTTGCATGTTTCAGTCTCTTAAGCATACTATAAACTCTGTAAACTTAGAATCTAAATGAACACTTACTTGAGCTGTGTTATAAACTATGTACTCGTTATACATCAATTCAGAAGCCTTCACATTTGATGGCACTGGTTTGCCACAAGGAACAACAACATCATCCCTCCACTTCACGAATTCAGACTTGTTGGGTACTTTCTTGCCCAGTCCTTTTGTAGAATGCTTTCGTTCTGGTGGTTTGTCCATATACTTGACAAAAATAGGGAAAAGTATAAGGAACTTGAAGAAACACCAAATATCAACATATTCACAATATACCCAGTTCCTCCAAGACCATTTCTTTGACATTTAAAAAGCCACGGTGGTAACCACAAAAATTCACAAAATAAGCTTGCATACAATTGTTAGAAAAAGAAACATTGCATGTGATGTTAGTTCAGATACATTCAACATATATGATGAACGAATACAGAAGCAACATCAAATACCAAATATCAAATATCTTAATCTTTGGCAATAATACACAAGCCTCTTTACCAAACACCTCCCATTCACCCTGAAAAACTTATGTAGAGCTGTATGAATGTGATACTGGGGCTCCAGATTGAAACAAAGGGGAAAGAAATTTCAACACTGAACATCATAGAGAGGCATAGGAAGTACACTGACCTTGGCCCTTGTCAGCTCGTAAACCTCTCCCAAGGCAACTTCACTCAGAAGCAGTAGGCCCACAGGATTTTTCTTGTCAGTGTAGCAATACTGAGCACTCTTGCTGACCAAATCAGCAAAGTAAACTCCCTTGCCAAACTATAATGAAGAACTGATAAATTGTTAAGTCTTTGTAATTAAAGATTAGGCAGATATGCCAATGCAACTTATGATGAAGTGTGTGTGTGAGAGAGAGAGAACCATATAGCCAGTTGCTGGAGCTTCAGGAGGAGCTATTCTCAGTCCCTGGCTGAGTATTCCCACAAAATTTGTCAAACGAGAACCTGCACAGGAGGGTTTTCAGTTTTTCTATCGTGCTCCCAAGGAAAATTGCAAAAGTAAAGCGCAGTTCATTGCAAACTAATTCCCACTCACCATGCCAAAGAAGCATTCGGTTGTTAAGCTTTTCTCGATAGGGAGCAAACTTATCAAATTCTCCTTTTCTTTCAAGTGAAAAAACTTCTTCCAGTTCAAGAGACCAATCCTGAGGATTCAAATAGCAAACCATTTCATAGATGACAGCAGAAAAGAATCATATATTACAGTGGCACATAAAGTAATCTCTCAAAGCATAAGAAACCACAACTTACAGTATGAGTAGGAGCATGAGTCGTGAGAAGATATTTCTCAATCAACTGATAATCTTCACTATCATGGGGAAGTGGAGTGATATCACAGCAAAGCTTCTTATATTTGTCATCAAGGGAATCATCATTGTCAACATCAAAACCTACTAATCTTGAAGCTATCTCAATGTCCTGGAGAGCTTCCAACATTTTCACCTGTGATTGAATCACAAAAGGATTACTTATTCCTCACCCAAAAAAAAAAAAAAAAAAAAAAAAGAAGAAGAAGAAGAAGAAAGAAAGGAGGAAAAAGGGGTTCAATGAGGGCCAGCCTTACAATGTATCGAGCAAAACAAAATTTAACTCTTTGATACCTGGTATGTATAAGCAAAGCCAGGTGCCACAGAATCTCACTACCCATTATTATTATTATTATTACTATTATTTTCACTTTCTTTTATTCCTACATTGGTGTCTTAAAGGATGCAGTATTATACCTGAGCCAGACACAAGTACAATACACTAAAGCAATGGAGCAAATAAGTATCAGTCTAATTAACAGTTTATGAAATTGAAGACATGAATGGATATTCCAAAATTTATGTAACTAATGTTCTAAATAAGAAAAACATGGTTTTCTTGATACTTGATATAAGTAGATAATTGTATACATGCAGGACAAGTAGTAAATACTGACAAGGAAACAAACTAACAGCAGTGCATCTAGTCAGAAATTACTTTTGTGTGCATAAAATAGAGAAATCCTCATATAAGCCAATATTGCATCAACTAACTTCTTTTGAATCTTTTGGCTTTTTTTGCAAAAGACGACTCAAATCATAGCCATGTTAATAACATATTAATCGAAATAAGAACCTAACTTATAAGGAAATGGGAACAATTGAGTAGTGAGGTGGTATCAATATAAAAGTTGATGCATGGTATCTCTGAATCTTTTTTTTTTTTTTTTTTAAATTAAACATGTAACTGTGTATAGATCTCTTTACCTTTGACCTAAAATCATCTTCATCCCTTATGACATGAGGATGAATAGAAGGAATAACAGTAAAAAATCTATTACTGGCATCAACAATCAAGCTTTCTTTGACTGAAGGATCAAATGCATTGGACTTTAATAGATTTTGTATCTCCGTTAATGCCTCAAAACCTGGACAACAAGAAAATTGCAGGTAATAAGGAATTAATTACAAGAAAATGATTCCTACCCTGACTAATGCAATAGAAATTAACTTGAAAAATATAATATCTAACATTATTGAACAGAATTTAATACAGGGAAAAAAAAATCAGTTTTTTATAGCTACCCACCCTTCTGGATGTTACTTTTGCTCAGTTTTCCAAGAGGCATTTCTGACATGTTAATCTCAAATTCCATCATTGCAGCTCTGCACTCAAAGTGTTGGTTCTTTAGATATATTAACCATTAAAAAAAGCACATTTCATCTTTCTTTTATAGAAAGAAAGGTTGAGGTTTTTTTTTTTTTTTGCCTTGCCAGAAAGACAGAGTTTGAATTAAAGTGGGTCTGTACCTGTATGTTTCCACATTAAAGAGCATTTTCATCAATTCTAATAGTGGAGGGGGAAGCCTACTGTCTGCATTGCTGTGCTTAACCTTTGACACCCGTTTGTTAACTCCATAATCCTACAAATCAAAAAATATAGGAAAAAAATAACTAGTTATTAAGAATAAATAAGTTATCAGAAAAAGGCAAACATGTAGGAGCACATAAGTAGAAGTAGGACCCAAAGATGGATCTAATGACTTGATCCCATGGTGTAGACAAAGTGCACAAACAAATGGCATGTTCTGTCCTTCGTGCATTTTATCTCCACTGCTTGACCAAGTCATATTAACAGATGTTCGAAGGTGCAAAATTACTAGCATTTCACAATAGCTGGTATCTTAAATAAATTACAAATACAACCATGCAGAGAGAGAGAGAGAGAGAGAGAGAGAGAGAGAGAAGCAGTACAATATCCAATGGGAAGAATCTGCCAGGTTGCTTTTGGAAATTTTTCTTCTGTTCCCATGCCTCCCATGTATTCCCAGTCTTGTCCAAAAATAAACGTTTGAATTCAGAGATTGCATCATATTTTGACATCTCTTCCAGTTTGCTTCCACCAATTTTTTCATTACCAACTCGACCCCACTTTCGGAACACATAACAATCAGAACCTTTATCATTTTGGATGATTTGGAGAATGTAGTAACTTCACATCAGAAACAAGAATAAGTTAGGAACTTAGAATTCACTTGAAGAAAGTAGAAAGAAGGTAAAAGCATAGGAAGACAGTTGAAAGCAAGGCAAAGCAATAAATTCCACTAGGGCATTAAATATGTATATTAAACACGGTAAGGAAAATATTATAGAGGATAATCATGTTTGTAAAGACTGATCAGAAATACTCTTTCATTCTCAAAACAGGGATGCATAAGCGTGGGTGTTTGTTTTTTTTTTTTTTTGGAAGGGGGTTTGGGGAGTGGATATCTTCTACACAACCAATTTGCCTTCCATCAACAGGAAAATATCAAGTATCAACAAAATGGTCCTCTTATGTTTTTCCATCATTTTTATTTCATTAACTGCAATGCAACAAGATTAAGATTGACACAAATATCACTGAAGTTACATATTTCTGTGGTTTTCCATTTTGAAAGGGGGATCCAAAGAGGAGATAAGGCAGGGAAAACGGAAAAAGGCATTCCCAGCTAAAAGGAAAAAGCTATTCAAAAGATGAAGATAGGATACACAAATTACACCTGTTAACACCAGTTGACAAGTCAGACATGTTCAAAGTTGTGTTATATATACTTCCCCCATCCTCGAGGACGTGACCTGTATCCTGCAGGCCAGAAGCTTCATGCACAGCACTTCGCCCTTTTACTTTGACAGTGACCATGCTAGAGTCCTCTCCAATGGCTTCAACTTTGTAGAGATCAAATGGAAGCTTCTTCTGTTTCTTAAAACAGTCAACCAAGTAATCCTCCCTAACAATTGGCAGTTTCATCCTCCTGCCAATAGAATCATCCTCAGCCAGACTACAATTAAATTAAGAAGAAACATAATAACGACCAGAAATACTATAGCAGCTTTACCTTGCCTTCCTCATCTCAGCATCATGATCATCCGGCAACCCACTCATAACAAAGCAGTTAGTGTCTGCAATTTGATTTGTTAATCACCAACTAACATGTATCTTAAGCAACAACAGTTGGTTTAAAGACCAGACCAGGTGGCACATACCTTTTTTGATCTTGAGACTAAATGTTCCACCTACTCCCTCAATTTTGCGCTTCCACTGTTCCTGCACAAAGAATCACCTTATGAAATAAAACATAACCATGAATTTATTCTGAAAGGACTATTAGATAGTTCTGAAGAAATTATATATAACATAAACATATGACAAAGAAGATTATACTTATACCATGGGTTCTTTAGGTAATCCAGCGATAGAAACTTTCAAATCTGCCAAGCTTTCAGCCTTAGAAGACTGTGAAGGACTGTTAGAAGCAACACTTGAAGAAGCATTGGTGGATGATGGTAGAGGCAGAATTCGAACAGGCTTCTTAACTCCTTGTGATTTAAACCACTGCAACAAATAGATTCAAGATAAAGCTTCAACTTAGATACATTAATGTCACATGAACCTATATTGGATACCTTGCTAAGAAATTCATTTTCTGTTTCATCTGGAACTTTCCATTTTCCTTTAAGACGTTCTGGTTTATGAGTAGAGTAAGAACACTTGCTCCATGCTGATAGGTAGCCATGGCACCGGTATGAGCCTCCAGAATAGCAAATTGAACCAGAACATAAAGGGCATTTCTCAAGTGCACCAAACATCATCCCATCAGCACTAAGTAAAAAGTACAACAATAAGCTTGTGTCAAATTTCAGTGCAGTGATAAACGAAATGGAGTACCATTTATTGTATAGAAACAACAAATTCAAATATCCAATGTTTGATTAAGATCAGCATGCATGAGTTTAACATCCAAAAGACAGATTGAGTAAAGGAATTGGAAAAATATTCAAGATAGTTCATTGGGGAAACATGTGAAACTTGTGTAAAAACAATCATGAGAAAGCTCGAGCACATTATGATTTAAAGAGGAATAAAAGAAAAAGGAAAAATAATCTGCCAAAAGGTTGCATAGAAATGATTTACCAGCGATCACGCAAGTCAAGTTCTGACCCTGTTGTATCTTGATTATTGGCTTCCAGCATTTCACGTAGTTGTGCTGTTGTCACATGCTTCTTCAGATCATCCTTTAGGGCCCACAATGCTTTAGTTTGTGCCTCCAGTTTACATTCTAGATCAGAATCTCTTGGCTGTTCAACCCTGCTTGATGGTGAATCTCTTTCAACCTTGGAAACTTTGGACTTCTGATCACTGCTAACATCATTTTTACGTTTGGTACCAGCTCTAGAGGTTGGTTGTTGAACGAACCCTTTATCCTCTCGTACCTCTCTTCTTTCCCCTGAAAGCATAAGGTTTGTTCAGAGAGATGACCAGTAAAAACAGAAAAATTTGGCATCCATAATGCATCAGAAAGAAAAGCCCCAGAATCTCTCAACCCACATACCATTCTTAGCAGCAGAAGGAACCTTCTTAATCAATGCACGTACATTTTCCTGATCAGTGGCTGAGAGGCTTTCCCATCCAGACAACTTCTCCATTTCAGTAGATGGAGACAATTCCATGAAACAGCTGGCATGGTGCCACACCAATCCCTTAGTGCCTTGACCTTCAGGTTTCGAAGATATACGAACCTAGCAAAATAGAAAAAATTAACATAAAGATGTTTCAAACATGATTGCCCGTAAGCCATCAGCCATGTCAGCATTATCTTGGTTTGATTGTGTGTAAACACAATGCTTCAGTGGCCAGGATAGATATTGTACTTACAGATCCCAAAGAAATATAAACAAGATGACAGTGTTCTTGCAATGAAGTTGATATTATTTGCCTAATCTTATTGAGAATGAACAGAAAAAAAGAATGGATTCAATGAAAATAATCCTATTAAAAACAACTCTAAACATTAGTAGCATAATGAAAAGATGCATATTTAAGTTGCACTTTATTGCTTTAAAAAAATATGCAAAAATGATCAACATTTATACATGTGGAAAAAGGGGGAAAAAGTGTTAGGTCAGGCAGTTAAAAAGACTCTAACGTGCAATCAAACCAAGTATATATAAAATTTCCTGAAAGCAGAAATATATGAAAAGAAAGCATTAACTATTAGAACTGAAAATCCACCTCTCCTTTCATAATCTTTTTACTACAATGCTTGCATGTAGCACGAGAAGCTTGTGAAGATTCAATAGCATATTGCAAAGCCGTGGCAGCTTTTCTATTTGTGGGTCCACCACCATCAGGTCCACCACCAGCAGGCCCACCACTTTCCACATAGGTTCTAATATTTTGCTGATCTTCCCATCTAAGTGATTCTAAGCCTTCAACGTCATCAACCCTATACAAAAAAAAAAAAGTAAAAGTTTGCTATTTCACCCATCCAGGTTATCTTCCCTAAATTACAAAAAACAATTACAAGAATACTTACGACTTTATCTGTTTCGCTTTCCTTAGTATGCAACTGGCATGATTCCAATGCTAATAAAATAAAACATACACACATCAGCATTTATCCAATCCTTTTAGTGAAAGAATGAAAGATATAGTTTACACTGTCAATAGCAAGAAAGTGTGTAAACAATCAAGCATAAAACTCCTCCATTTACCGCTGAAAAAAATAAAGGCCACTCCCACACCTCAAAACATCTAAACAACTTCTGAAATCTTCTTATAGCTGAAAATTACAACTGAACATTCTAGCAATATAACATATAAGTATCACTCCAATCCCCTTCATCAAAAGGCACCAATTTTATTACAGAAGCACCTAAACCCATAATAGCTAATAACTCTTGATTTTTTGCGAGAACATAAATATCATCAATGCCAAAGCAGAAAGGGCTGGCCTGCCTAAAATATATATATAACTCTGTAATTCGTGCACCCAAGAACGTGTTAACAGGAAAAAGTTCATGTTTGGGCAAAAAAATTAGTTCATATCCACTTCTAAAGACCCTGAAAACGAGATTGATGAGTAATAATACATCATGAACAATGTTTTTGAAACACCCAGACGAAATCAACTCCAGAGAAAGCCAAAAACAGAAAGGAACAAGAAGATAAAACCCAATGTAGCGTTTGGAGAAGAAGGGCGGAGATGGAAATATACCGGCATGAAGCCGTCGAACTGTTTGGCTTGGACCATTTTGCCGAGCCTGAAAACCTCCTTGTCGATAGGGCTCTTGCAGGTCTTGCATGACGATCGACCTGACTTGGCATACTCCGCCTTCCAGGGCTTCGGTGGGTTCGCCATTGCAGTACCGGAAGGATCACGGTGGATTGCACTAACTACTGTCGAAGAGGAAGCAGTGGCGTTCTTCTGCTGACGGTTTCCTCTAAAGCTCACTTTACCAAACCCGCATCCATCATTTGGAGCTCCAGTTTTACCATCCAGGATTCCGGGTAGGTTTGGTACAAGCAAAAAAGTTCCCTTTACCAGGAAAGTTCAACTGTATTTTACTAGTATTGAAAAAAGAACACTAGGTGATAAATTGTATTAAATTTTATTATATTAATTATTAGATTAGATAAGGGTTTTTTTTTTTTTTTGAACAGCTAGATTAGATAAGGGTTAAAAGTTTTATTTTAATTA